CTACCATATCGTTAAATTTAATTCTCTGTTCAACTGCCAAATGACATTTGAAAGAACAAACGGCCTCATTTGGGGATGGATTGGGGTAAAGGCGGGTTGAGGGGGGTTACATGCTAAGACCAAACAAAAAAGATAGTGTGTTTCCCGTAACATGAAATTTCAGCATAGGGTCGGTAGGTGGGACAAAGTTTTTTTTTTTAATCTTTTTTTTTTCCCCCGCCGTCCTCCTCCGCCCTCGGTTTTTACTCGGCCCATGGTGTTCATCAAATAGTTCGCTGAATTTTTTCGATACATCAATGGATGCTATTTTCTTAACATTACGGTGCGAGCTTGCGACTGTAACACAGAAAACGCGGTTTAAACTGTCGTCTGAGATCGCGGCCGCCGCCATGTTTCAATGTTGTTGACAGACGACAGGGCAAATGACGCACGCGCTCAACGTGAATATCGCGAGAGTTTGCACCGATGTAAACCCTCTACACAAAAATGTAGAGGGTTGTTTGAAAAAAATGCCGACCGTAAAGTTTTTTTTCGACGTGGAAATTCTCGGTCGGTCGGGTTATCGGAAACACACTACTTTTTTTTCTATGCCTAAGCCATAGAAAAAAAAAACGAACCGGGTAACTTGTGGTTGCACAAGCATATTCATCCTTAAATACAATTCTCTATTTTTCAACATTTATTTTCAACAAGTTTTCTGAAGGTGTTTCGACTTTTGATTTCACAAGGGAGACTTTGAGGTCTTACCGTGACTCTCTGTCCAGCCTTCAATGTATATTTAGGTGTGAATTTGAATGTAGCTGTCACACTTCCAATCGTTTTAATCACTTCACAGCCCACCATGGCTTGGTCCTGAATAAAAAGACAGAAGTTTACAGATGAGCACGATGACGTTCAAAAGAAATCTTGAATTTCTTCACACGTGGAAAAGCACCGCGTTTGATCTTACCACATCGCCGGTGTTCTGGAGGCTTATAAACTTGCCATCCGTGTCAATCTCATCAATAACGATGGGTCCTGTGGCTGAGGAGGCGTGAGCGATGGACACGGAGCTGCTAGCTTCCTGTTCCTCAACATCAACACGCTTCCTTTTTCCCTGAGCTGTCCGAACACTACGGCTGCTGGAAGAGACTCGAGACATTGTGACACGAGAGGAAGGGCTGGGAGAAAGCTTCAATCTGCAGGTGAAAGAAACGGGAGGGTCATCACACCGGCTATGCAGAACAGAAAACGGCTTGCAGTTGTATGAATAGGCCCTCACCTTTCCTCTTCTCCCTCCAGAAGTTTGCGGTATGCATTGATCTCCATGTCAAGAGCAAATTTCACATCCAGCAACTGTTCATATTCATTCAACTGTTGCAACATCTTTGCTTGGATCTCAGCCACTTCGCGGTCTTTTTCTGCCACAAGTTTGCGGCTTGTATCTTTCTCCTTAGCGAGTGCCGCCTCCAGTTCTGCTATGCGACCATGCCAACCACGAGTCTGCAGAAGGAGATCGGAGTGCAGCGGCGAAATTGTTAGTGTGCGGTCTGTCAGACATTCAAAATGCATGACATCTTTTCTTATTGTGCATGTAATCTGGCTGTCAAAAAATATCAGCAATGCTGCTGCAACCTATCCTTGTTTGGTCACAGACACCAAGTGGCCGGCACAACACAACACATCTGCGATCAATAGTCACACACACGGACACGCTTTCCATTGATAGACCAGGGCGGCAGTGTAAACAAAGGGATTTGGTGGTCGGAAATGAAGAAAAGATATATGGACATACTATCTGTGCAACCCAGCAGAAAAAAGCAACACAATGAATTGGAAATGGTAAATGTGGCCACAAACTAGGCGAAAGAATACTACGAATCTCAAGTGGCATCTGAAGGCTCACCATGCAGATTTTTTTTTTTGGGGAGGTCAGTCGCAACTAGTCCTGTTAACATATCACACTGTAAATGTATACGTTTGCTAGCATTCGATGCTACTTGACAGTCGGCTTGTGATAAATATATTCTTTATTTGTCAATAAAATAATCACAATACAACTGCAGTGGCAACATCCATTTGTTTACGAGTTTGCAATCACTTTGCGCATTCACTTACCGTATTTTCCACAATATAAGGCGCTTCGGAGAATAAAGCGCACCTTCAATAAACAGAGATGAAAGTGGACTTTTCTGAAAATTCCGGAAAAAAAAAAAAATAAACAAACGTGTGTGTGTGTGTGTGTGTATGTGTGTGTGTGTGTGTGCGCGCGTGCGCACGCACTTGGCCGATCAAGCATGAATTAGTTTACACAAAACGCTATTCAAATACTCGACATTCAATGATTAATCTTCCTTTTGTGTGCACACGTGTACCCTTTGTGGCTTCCGTTCGGGCCGAAATTTCGAAATCTCCAAGATATGGCGAGGCCATGAGAATGCGAGGCGAGGGTATTACTGTTGTGGCGACTCCACTCAAGCTAA